AAAGATGAAAATAAAGTGTTTGTAGATGGGGAGGGGAGGAGGGGGTGAAGGGAGGGCAGAGGTAAGGGGAAAAAATGAGAATCAAGACTTGTCATGTAGAGGTACAAGATCCCAACAATGAATGTAACTGTACTGTATCCCTAAAATGTACCAATAAACTCAATTAAAGCTGAAAAAAATATAAGTGTTCTAAGAAAAATGAAAAACAAGACATACAAATTAGGAGCTGAGGAAGGTGACATTGAAAGGTTCTGTATTTGGAAAATCTGAAAGGATAGAAAAGATTTGATAAATAGCAATTAGTGAAGACTGGGGAGAAGTTTCCTAGCCGGAGAACCGAGAAGAAGAAACAATCAGATTTCAGGAGAAACTCACAAGTCATTTGCCCAGAACACTGACTATTTGGTGAGAATCATTTTAGATTGAGGCTGAAGTCATCACCCAAGTTGCCTTAAGTCACAGACTAAGGAAAATAGATATTCTTCAAGAGGCAAAAGCCTGGAAGGCCAAGGTGTAAAGGACTAGAAATGTAGGACTAATAAATATGAACAGCATTTTAAAAGTTTATAAGGGAAAAAGAAAAAATTTGAAAAAATGGAAACAAAGCCTTTGTAAGTAGGGAAGGGTGAAGGGTGAAAAGGGTGAAGAGAGGGCAGGGGTATGGAGAAAAAACAAGAACCAAGACATATCATGTAAAGGTACAAGATCCCAATGATAAATGTTAACTATATTATTTGCTTTAAATGTGCCAATAAATTCAATGGAAAAAAACTGATGCTTTTGGAAAGAATCTAGGAAAGTTGTTAAATTCATGACTATATAAACCAATATAAAAATGCAGGCATGAAATAAAAGGATTGGTTCTTAGGTTATGATAGCTGGAATAGAAAGGAAAATCACAGGGCCAAGTAGGGATTTGGAAGTTTAAAAAAAACCCCACTCATTTGAATTAAGATATAACCATAAAATATCAGGGAAAATTGGTTGCCGTAACTATCTAATATCTATTTCTGGATTCTGATTTTAAGTGATGTTCCCTCCCACACCTGATCTGTAACACTCCTGAACTTGTCTTTGTGAGGAGTTTCTCTGCCGCCAACTCTGCTCCTGCCTCTGCTCTGACTCAGGGAAGACCTTGGGGGAGTCACGACCTTACTGCACACAATTTGCTTCTGAGCACTGTGCAGAGATAATGTAGCATAGAAGCAACCAAAATGATGGCCAAAAGAAGTCAGTGCCCTGGCATCCCTGCCTCAACACAGAGCTGCTCAGCAGAGTAGAAAGGCAGATCCCATCCCTAGCAGACCAACCAGCCTGAGCACAGGACACGAAGCTCAAGCAAACACCACCAGTGATGTCTGCTTCTAACATCACAGTTCTGCAGCCCTGTCACTGCAGTAGGGTTCTCCTGTGATCCAGTCTCACAGAAGGTAAGGTCCTGTAGAGTTCCACACAGTCTCCACCTTTCACATTCCACAGCTCTCATTTCCTAACGAAATAGGAACAAAATGGTTTCCAGAGGGAAAATCCTTTGATTTTGAAATGTGCACTGGTGTCATCAGATGCATGGCAAAGACAGCACTTTTTCCGTAATAATCACTATGCAAAAAAAGATTTCAAATAAGCAATTCCAAAACTGATGAAAACTTATTTTACACACTCAGCTCTTCTTCTGAAAGGGAAATACACCCTAGCTGTCTAATACTTTCTATGATGAATAGGGAATAAAATTTTCGACATTTTATCAATCCTAAATTTGCTAAATTCTAGGTTTAGCATTTTATCAATAAGAAAACAATGAGCAAAAGAGTGTAAGTGTTTGCCTCCAAAGACATAAGAAATCTGTCCAGACACAGATTAAAATTAGGAATTTGTTTCCTATTTTTTTTCAGAGTAAGGATGTATTAGTCAATATTTCCTTTCCAAAACAAAACATTTAAAAATAGTCAACAAAACACCAAAATAATATTTTAAAAACAAAGGCTTACATGTAGAAAAGTAAAAGAAACAAGTGGGGACAAAAATAATATCAAGAAGGACAATGTCCACAGGGTCATTTGACCCCAGAGCTTGGAGTATCCCTGAGAGATGGTGCCCACCCTCCAGAGGTCTTGGGCCTGAATTAGAAAGGTCACCAAACTCTGGGGGCAGGTGCCCCTGCTGAGGTGATAGGGGAAAGGACAGAGAAGGGGATACCGTCCAGAATAAAACCAGCATATTCTCAGCCTGGCACACAAGTTGGTAAACTAGAAAAAACTATTCTACAGAGAAAGCCAGTGAGAATCCATGCCTCCCTCAGCCATGCCACTGAGTATAAGGATAAACAAAAAGAAAACCCAAGGACATTTCTAACTGTAAATCTGCAACTAGGTTTGGGGCTGGAATTCACACTACTCCTATGGCCTGGAAAATCTGAAGCCCCCCCAAAATATGTAGTTTTAAGTGGTTGTAATCTTAGTCTTATCCCCCCCTAATAAATTCTCTGGGAATATATAATAAATCTACTTGGAATTCCAGAAAGATGCTTAGCATTTGAATGCATCAAAGACAAAATTCTATAATTGATAAGAGATACTGGTACTCAGATTCAAAAGCAAAAAAAAAAAA